CACAGACTATTCTAAACAACCCTAGAAGATGAAAGACTCCCAAACTCCTTTTATGAAGCCAGCATCATCCTAAACCCAAAACCAGATAGAAACACAACAAAGAAAGAAAACTTCAAGCCAATATCACTGATGAACATAGATGCTAAAATACTCAACAAAATATTGGTAAACCACCTACAGCAATACATGAAAAAGATCATACACCATGATTAAGTGGGATTCATCCCAACAATGCTAGGAAGGTATGGTATTCACAAATCAATAAATGTAATACATCGCATAAAAAAAAGACAAAAATCACATGACAATATTAATAGATGCAGAAAAAGCATTTGATAAGTTACAGCACTCATTATTATGATGAAAACACTCAGCAAAGTGGGAATACAGGGAGCATTCCTCAACATAATAAGGGTCATATATGAGAGACCTACAGCCAACATCATACACAATGGGCAAAAACTAAAACCTTTTCCACTAAGATCAAGAACAAGACAAAGTTGTACACTTTCACCACTTCTATTCAATATAGTATTGGAAGTTTTAGCCACAGCAATCAAACAAGAAAAGGAAATAAAAGGCATCCAAATCAGAAAGGAGGAAACAAAACTGTCATTGTTTGCAGATGGCATGATAGTGTACATAGAAAATCCTATAGACTCCACCAAAAAGCAGCTCAACCTAATAAATGAATTGGGCAAAACATGGGGATACAAAGTCTATATTCAGAAATCAAAGGCATTTCTGTATATCAACAATGAAATATCAGAAACAGAAATCAGGGAACAAATCTCATTTCTTATAGCAACAAGAAAAATAAAATACCTAGCAATAAACCTAACCAAAGAGGTAAAAGACCTGTATTCAGAAAACTACACAACATTGAAGAATGAAATCAACTCTGAAGAATGAATATGTTTCCACAAATGGAAACATATATCGTGTTCATGGATCAGAAATATTAACATCATCATAATGTCCATATTACCCAAAGCCATTTATAGATTCAATGCAATACCTATTAAAGTACCAGTGACATATTTCACAGATATAGAACAAACGCTTCAAAATTTTATATGGAACCATAAATGACAGTGAATAGCTCCAGAAATTTTGAGAAAGAAGAGCAAAGTAGGAGGGATCACAGCTCTGGACATCAAACTATATTACAAGTCCACTGTAATGAAAACAGCTTGGTACTGGCATAAGAACCAGTACCAAGATAGAACAATGGAACAGAATAGAGGGCTCAGAAATAAACCCAAGTCTCTATGGTCAATTAATATTTTACAAAGGGGGAAGAAGTATAAATGGAGTAAAAATAGCCTCTTCAACAAATGGTATTGAGAGATCTGGACAAGCTACATACAAAAAAATGAAACTTGACCACCAACTTACACCATACACCAAAATAAATTTAAGATGGATAAAAGACTTAAATACAAGTTGTAACACCACAAAAGTCCATCTGGAGAACATAGGCAAGAAAATCTAAGATATTCCATGCAGCAATACTTTCACTCATATGTGCCCTAAAGCAAGGGAGATGAAAGAAAGAATAAGCAAATGGGATCTCATCAAAATAAAAAGCTTCTGCACAGCTAAAGAAAAGAACATTAAAATAAAAAGAGAACAACCATATGGGAAAACATATTTGCCAATGATACCTCAGACAAGGGGTTGATATCCAAAATATATAAAGAATGCACATGACTCCATTCTAGGAAGACAAAAAACCCAATTAAAAAATGGGCAAAGGACTTGAACAGACACTTCACTAAGGAGGATATACAAAGTGTCCAGAGACATATGAAAAGATGTTCAGCATCACTAGTCATCAGAGAGATGCTTATGAAAAGCACAGTCATATACCATTTCATCCAGGCCAGAATGGCCATCATAAACAAATCAACAAACAAGTGTTGAGCAGTATGCAGAGAAAAGGGAACCCTATTGCACTGTTGGTGGGGTTGCAGATGGGTGCAGCCACTGTGGAAAACAGTATGGAATTCCCTGAGAAAACTAAAAATGGAATTGCCTTTTTATCCACCAATTCCACTGCTAGGTTATATCCTGAGAGCACTGAAACACCAATCCAAAAGAACCTATGCATCCCAATGTTCATAGCAGCACAATTTACAATAGCCAAGTGCTGGAAGGAACTTAAGTGCCATCCATAAATGAATGGATCAAACAACTATGGTACATTTACACAATGAATATGCCACAGCAGAAAGAAAGAAGGAGTTCCTACCCTTTGCAACAGCATGGATGGAACTGGAGAGCATTATGTTAAGTGAAATAAAACAGGAGGTGAAAGACAGATACCATATGATCTCACCTTTAAGTGGCACCTAATCAACAAAACAAAGAAGCAAGCAAAATTTAACCAGAGACATTGAAATTAAGGTCAAATGAACAGTAACCAGAAGGTAGATGGGAAGGGATAATAGAGGGAAAAGGGTAAAGGGTTTTCAGGAACAACTATAAGGGACACATGGACAAAACTAAGGGGAAATGGAATCAGGGCAGGGAGGTGGGGATGGCTGGGGTAGGGGGAGGAGGTGGAGAGAAAAGGCAGACAATTGTACTTGAATGACAATAAAATTCAAGAAATGGAAGAAAATACCTAGGACTCTGGACATGTGATTCAGTGGTTTGGAGTACCATTCCATGTACTGAAAGGTTGCCAGTTCAATTCCTGGTTAGGACACACATGCCTAGTTTGTGGGTTCAATCCCTGGTTGGCGTACATATGAGAGGCAACAGATTGATGTTTCTTTCTAACCTCTCTCTCTCTCTCTTTCTCTCTCTCTCTCTCTCTCTCTTTTTCTCTCCCTTCCTCTTTCTCTAAAAATCAATGGAAACATGTCTGAGTGAAGTTTAAAAAAATACACAGAAATAAATTTAACCAAATAGGTAAAAGACCTATACTCTGAAAATTATAAGACATTGAAGTAATAAATTGAAGAATATACAAATAAATGGAAGAGTATGTCATGCTCATGGTTAGGAAGAATTAATATTTTAAAATGTCCATACTCCCCAAGGCATGAATATATATATATATATTTTCATTCAATGGCATGCCTATGAAAATATCAATGGCACATTTCACAGAGCTAGAACAAATAATCCTAAAATTTATATGGAACTACAAATGACCCAGAAAGCACAAAATTGGAGGTATCATGCTACTTGGTATCAAACTTTACCACAAGGCTATAGTCATCAAAACATCATGATACAGGCATAAAAACAGACACATAGATCAATGAAACAGAATAGAGAGCCCAGAAATAAACCCACACCTATATAGTCAATTAATATATAACCAAAGATACAATGGAGTAAAGACAGTTTATTCAACAAATGGTGTTGGGAAAACTGGACAGATACCTAAAAATTAAATTAGACTCCTTTTTGTACAATACCAAGAATAAACTCAAAATAGATTAATGACTTAAATGTAAGACATGAAACCATAAAACTCCTGAAAGAAAACATAGGTAATAAACTCTCCAATATTGCTCTTAGTAATATTTTTTGTGGATATGTCTCTCTGGGCAAGGAAATAAAAGAAAAAATAAGCAAATGGGACTACATCAAACAAAGAGTTTTTGCACAGCAAAGGAAACCATCAATCAAACAAAAGGACAACCTATTGAATGGGACAAGGTATTTGCCAATGATACATCTGATAAGGGGTTAATATCCAAAACTTATTAAGTCATACAACTTAACCCCCCTAAAGCAAACAATCCAATTGAAAAATGATCAGAGGTCCTGAATAGACATTTTCCAAAGAGAACAAAGAGATGGCCAATAGACATAATAAAAGTTGCTCAAGTTCATTAATTATCAACAAAATGCGAACTAAAATAATAAATAAATATAACTTCACACCCATCAGGATGGCTATGATTAACTAATCAATAGGCAACAAGTATTAACAAGGATACGTAGAAAAGAGAACCCTTATGCATTGTTGGTGGGATTGCAAGTTGGTGTAGCCATTATGGAAAACAGTATAAAGTTTCCTCAAAAAGTGAAAAGGAGTAGTACCATATGACACAGCAATTCCACTTCTGGGTATTTATCCAAAGAAATGCAAAACACTAATTAGAAAAGGCATGTACACCTCTACATTTAATGCAGCATTATATATAATAGCCGAGATATGGAAGCCATCTAAAGTACCCACAAATAGATGAATAAAGAAGAAGTGGAGCATATATACAATGGACTGGCCATAATAAATAATGTAATGTTAACATTTGCAAGAAAACAGATGGCCCTATAGGGTGTTCTGCTAAGTGAAACAACTCAGGCAGAGAAAGGCAAGTACCATATGATTTTACTTATATTTAGAATCTAAAGAATAAAAATGAACACACAAAACAGATACAGACTAAAAGATTCAGAGAACAAATTGAGGGTTGCCAGATTAGAAGATGTTGGAGGAGCTGGGTGAAAAATGTGAAGGAACTAAGAAGTACAAATTGGTAGTTACAAAATAGTCATGAGGGTGAAAAGTACAGCACAAGGATTATAGTCAATATTGTAATAATTATGTATGGTTCCAGGTGGGTATTAGACTTATTGGGGGACCACTTTATAAATTATATAAACATCTAACCATTATGTTGTACATTTTAAACTAATATAAAATAATATTGAATGTCTACTCTAATTAAAAATAAAAAATATTTCTTATTTGGTACTACAATCAGGCCTTCTGTCTCTGATGCCTCCTCATACTCACATTATAAACTAGATCTCATTTTATTCTTATGGTATCCTTTGGAGGTAGTAGCTCCATTTTGTGGATGTGATAACTCAAATTCAAAGGTTTGGTGAGTTGCTCAAGATCACTGAACACTAAAATCCATGCTTTTGCCAGTCCTCATACTGTTCTCAGGCTTATTTTTGGTACTGGGTTAGTTAAGGGAAGTCAAATCAACACCAAAGTTATAAAACATTTTTAAATGGATCAATACCTGCTCCATGGAATCCTCCACAGATATACAGCTTCCCATCCACTGTTCCTGCATTGGTAGAATTGGTTCGAAGAGAGAGCAGGGAACTTGGCATAGGTGGGCCTTCTCTCCAGAAGTCCCCATCAGGGTTATAGATCTCCACCACATCCAGGCACTTTCTAATCTGGCCCTTGTCTTGACCTATGCAGCCAATTCCACCTACAGAGAATGATAAGAACAGACACTTCATTGTAGATAGCCTCCTTACTGCTACGGTTTGTATCATGTTTCTAGGCCTTTTGACCTTTCTCTTTGTTGCCTTGGTGCTACTTCTAAGCAATAGTGATGTCTACTAGATAGTCCATAACCAAATTTAATGTCATTTCTATTCACAGTGTTCCATCTGCTTGTTCTTATGCATGATGCTGATTCCACTGCAGGCTTTATATTCTATATAATATCCAACACTGGTTGACACGATGCATACCCCCTTTAGAATAAGAACTCCAGGTTTAAATATGAGGGTAACTTGACTTTGACATCTGCCTTCCTGTTGATAATTCACAATGATTTCACTGATCTTGTTAGCTAGAGATGTGTCCTTTCCATTCCTCATCATTACAAGCCTGTCTTTTCCTCTCTTCTTGAGTTGCGTAAGTTTTCTCCATTAGGAAAGGACAATTCTTTGGTAAATTTAAGGTTTGAGGGTCAAAGGAAGGCCCTCAGATCTAACTGTCCAGTGCATCTTCCACTTTTGGATGATACAGTTAATTCACCAGATAGTCATTGATTGCCTAATATGTGCAAGGCAATGTGCTAAGTGATAAAGGGAATTTAGAAAGATGAATAAGGCATATTTCTAGCCATTAAGAAGTTGAGGGGTAGAAAGAGCCATGTATGCAAATAAGTGAAGGAGATCATGACAAGTACCTTAAAAGAGATACAAATTAGACCCAGAAATCCAGAGACTGCAACAAGTAACAGAAATATCTTTTATATATTATGACTTTAAGTACAACCCTCCACAAGAAAAGTAATTGTGTAAGAACTTCCAATTGACTGTAATAATAAACACAAAGTTTTTAAGTGATGTTTTTTGTTCTCTCCTCCAAAGTACCACAATGAATGTTCTTAAATGTCAGGGCCATATTTCCTGACCTGAAATATGGCTCCTGAAACTAAGGCGAATTCAATGGAAGGAGAGACACTCTTGTACTTGCAGACACTCCTCTCATCAGTGACCTCATTTCATGCACACCCAATCTGACAACCCTGATCTGCACAATCAGTCAAAATAATTTTAAAGTGCTAGTCTCAGGCTAAACCAGGTCCCTTTACTGTAGAGAGGGTCGTAGAAGAGTCACTGCATTTGTGGAGTGCTGGTTGGTGTTTGGCTAAATATATAGATATTTATAGCAATATCTATAACTAAGAACCAAACCTAAGAACTTCTCTGATCTCATGACATTTACTGAACATCACTATTACTTAACATCTTTTGCCTACCATTGCACTAGTCAGATGGTTATTTGCATTATCATCTGTTTTTCAACTTTCAATACTGCATCTTCAGTAACTAGTACTGTACCTGATATGTGTGTCTGGAATGAATGAATGAGAAATTTAACTTTTCCTATGGTTTCTGAGTTTGTTCACGTGGATGTATTGTAAGCTTATTCAGGGCAAAGTCCATTTTTTACATATTTTAAGTTTATTTCAAATGCCTGGCACACAGTACTCAATGAATCCAAGAGTGATGGGAACAACTCTTTTAACCATGGTTGGGACTTACGTCAGGTGTAAGAGGTGATAGAAGAGGACTTTGGAGGAAGACTTTTTTTTCACTTTGCTGAAAGAGCCTGGCCTGTTTCTTGTATGAATCTAGGGACTGAGATTATAAACTCAGGAAGCTTTTAGCTACTTTCTTTCTTATCTGGCTGGATAAATAATTTAGCCCCCTATAGTGCCAAGTCTGAGCAGCAGTGTTTCCAGGGAGAGGACATGCTCGCTTTGGTTAACTGCAGAGCTCTGTTGTTCATGGGTCCCCTTTCAATGTAGTACTGTGGTAGATAGAAGTTCCATAGTCCAACAAAAAGTGGGGGCAGGTTGGCCTTAAAGAAGATGATTTATCTGTAGCATTTAACCCTGGCAACCACCTGTCAGGTAATAACAAGATGATTTAGTTACCTGTTCTGCAAGACACAGGAGAGATATTATTAGGCTGATCAGTAGTTTCCCCCTAGGTCTGCCAGCCTAAAGCATCATCAACTTCCCTTCATTTGATCTTAGACAAAAGTCCAAGAAGTGATCATTAACTTCTCTTAACTTGGGGTACCTAATAGGATACAAGACACATTTCCTTTTTTAAAAAAGATTTCTCTCTTTTTAAGATTTTTATTTATATTTTTTATTTTTAGAGAGGGAAGGGAGGGAGAAAGAGAGAGAGAGAGAGAAACATCAATGTGCGGTTGCTGGGGGCCGTGGCCTGCAACCCTGGCATGTCTCCTGGCTGGGAATTGAACCTGTGATACTTTGGTTCCCAGCCTGCGCTCAATCCACTGAGCTACAAGACACATTTCTATTAATACTTCTCTGAAGTGACCCTGAGAGAACTATTAATCAAAAAAAAATTCACAGTTTAAAAATATAGGCATATAAGATAAATGCATCCTTAAAGGCAAGGCATGAGTCATTATATTTTCCAAGGTATCAAGCATAATATCTTTTTTCTAAAAGAAAATCTTGATAATATTTGCTTAATAACTATTAAAAAGATTATATGTTTTTGGAATAATTATCTTGTATATAAATAAGATGATTTATAGAGAGTGATAATTTGTGCTCATTCCCATATGTGCCTAGTAACTGGTGGAGTAAGAGCATAATTAAAAAATGATGACATATGAATTAGCATAAACTAATTAAAATAATACATTTTATTAAAATGAGAGTTTGTGATCATTGATATTCTTTAAGGCATCAAAATTTGTTTCAACTATTTTATTTTTTAAAATATAGTACATTATTGAGCTAGGACTCTAAGATGGCATCGGAGTAGGAAGGAACAGATTTGGCTTCCCTCTGCACAGGGGAGAAAATCCTGGCCGATCTATGGAGTAGAGGAGCAAGCAACCAACATACTTCAGCATATGTGAAAATAGGGGACCAAGGATTGTGGCAGAACCGAAAAACCGGACCCTAAGAGGAGTGCTGCAACACGGTAGGGTCCCAGGAACCAGCACGGGATCCAGGGGCTGCAGCACCAGGCCTAGAGCTCAGTTGCTGGGTTTGCCACAGAGTCCTTGGGAGAGAGCCAGGACAACTGCTCCCTCCCCGCCAAACAAGGTCTGAGTGGCACTGGGAGGAACCCAGCTGCTAGCAAACACAGAAGGGCTGTGAGCACCCTTGGAGGCTGTGGACACTGGCGGGGTTGGGTTATGAAGTGGGCCCTGATCCCCACAGGCACCAGTTTGGCTGGAGAGTTGGGCTGTGGGAAAAGCCAGGCCATTGTGTGGAGCAGCAGGCTTGAATAGAAGGAATTTCTCAAGAGGAAGGAGTGAAAACACAGACACTGTTTGGGGAATTCTCCTAAAGTGATCAATTGCTCCACTCTCCCTGCCACCAAGCCAAGGGCATGCGGGCGTGTGCAGAGAGAGCATCCCAGCACCCCAGCCCACAGCAGTAACCCTGGGGAAAGGCCTGATTCCCACACCCAGGGTGCAAGGCTGAGGAGCCACAATAGCTTCCCAGACAGTGCGCTCACTGCTGACCGAGGAAGAAAAGCATTACTAATCACCCCTCAGCCTTCCACAGCCAGAGAGAGCAGAAAAACTGGTTTGGCCACTTTGAAACCAAGAGACTTTTTAATTTTATTCTATTTTTTTAACAATTCTTAATTTTTAAATTTTATTATTTTTATTCTCTTTTAATTTATTTTTCCTCTCTTTCCTGCTTTCTTCTTTTATTCCTTCCTCCTTTCTTTCCTCCAATTTTATCTCTTCTTCCTTCCTTTGTCTGCCTTTTTTATTTTTATTTTTTAAATACCTACAAGTGAGACAAAATCCTGGATCTGTGAAAAAACCAAAGTTGAACCCCAAGAAGGGACATCACAACAGCTGGAACAGTGAGACAAATTTTACTCTGCTATCACAGAGAACCTGCAAGTTATTGCATATTTGTATTATTATTTTTCCAGTACTCTTACATCTTTTTTAATGGTATTTTTGATTCCCTCTTCTTTTTGTATAGTCTGCTTTGCTAGGCTGGTAATATTGTACGACCTGACAGCTTTCCCTTGATATCTCTTTCATAGTGTATTGCTAATCTACTGTCCTTTAACTCACCTGTGTCCCATTAGCATACTACTCGAGGTTCTGTACTCCTTATTCTTGTTCCCTAGATCTCATAGATTCTGTCATATTATTGTTGCCCTAATATTATTGTAAATAATTGCTGTTCCATGCAATTGTAATTACTTCACAACACCCCTTCCAGATCCCATTTCAAAGTTTCCTGAACTCTATTACTGTAGTGGATAACTATATTCTCTCATATACTACACCTATTTACTATCCTTTACTCTCACCTTACCTCAGAATCTGACCTCCCACAACCTAACTGCTTTATAGATCCACCTCACAATCCTTCCTTCCCCAACAACAGTCTTATCTTCTTTCCATCCTTTCTAAAGATCAGCTAGCTGGTGGAAGATCACGGTTAACATTACACATAGTCAAAGGATCTCCTATCTCTTCTCTACTGGCTGCTACTGTAAATATCATAGAATACTCTCTTGCAGTCTTAAACCATTTTGCCTTCCCCCTCCAACTGATCACAAAAAACAGTAGGTGGAAGCTGTGAACACCAGGATAACCACTGGAAGAGGAAACTCAACAACAAAGGAACCACCAACAGAGAACAACAGAAGAAGGTGAAGGAGGGAGAGGAAGCCACACTAACCTCAATCCAGGACCTATCTGGAAAACGACTAAAAAGTAGAGACAGTCCCAATACAAACAACTGAACAAGAGCAAGAGGTTAGGTTTTAAATCCTTAAAACCTTATACACACAGAAGAATCAGCTTCAACACAACCTGCCCTCACCAGCACAACAAAACACAAAAGGTGGTGGACAGAGTGACCGTCATTTAACCAGCTGGTGGTAAGAACCCACCAAAGAAAGACACAACAACAATCAAAACCCAAAGGCAAATACCAAG